TANACACACACACACACACACACACACACACACACACACACACACACACACACACAAACACACACACACAAACACAATGTTAATGTTGACTTTACACATGCCTACAGCTTGTCAATCTAACGAGTTCCGGTGCAACAGTTCGGGGTGTGTGCCACTCTCGGATAGGTGTAACGGCCAAGCTGACTGTCTGGATGGAAGTGATGAACATAACTGCAGTAAGTAACAAAGTGTTATATCTGTAGCCTAGTATTAAAGCTTAAGTTACTTTGACAAAACAAACACCATGTTAGTCTTGCAGCTTCTTAGGGTTTGAAAATAACTTTGATGATTAAAAAAATCACACGGTGCTTACCTGCAAAATTTTTACCACACGTACCTACAGCTTGTCGACCTGACCAGTTCCTTTGTGACACTTCGCGGTGTATACCGCTCTCAGCAAAATGTAATCGACATGCTGACTGTCTGGATTGGAGTGACGAATTATCATACTGCAGTGAGTAAAATTGAATTTTTTTGAGCTATGAGGCAACGTACAGTGAAATAAAATCTCGTCATTGATTCCTTTCGAATGTATCCAGATCGGGATGTATCGGGAGAGACCGATGATGCCCGGCTTAGATCGTTATTTTAGACTCGACTATACTATGGATCATTATGGGTTCACCACACCACGAAGTGGTAGTGAACCCATATTGCTTTTTCTGATGTTTCTTCTCCTCCTCCTTCTCCTTCTCCTCCTTCTTCTCCTGCCATTTTTAAATGGATTCATCTTCTTCATTTTAGGGCCTAAGGTCCTGAAATTTGGTATGGAGGTACAGTGGGCAAATGCCCCTTGGCGTTTTTTAAATTTTTGTGATACAGGCTTTTAGAATGGCTTCATTTGAGTTTTTTGGCTGTGTTATATCAAATGTATTACTGTGTTAGTGTGCCGTGTTTACCATGAGTCATCACAATGGAATGCAGGGCATCAAGCAATAGGCATGCAGCTTTCCTCTATACTTCTTGCTGATTGGCTGTTGGGATTTAACTTGATTAACACCTGCACAGAGCATTTCCACCTGCACAGAGCATTTCTTGCTGATTGGCTGTTGGGATTTAACTTGATTAACACCTGCACAGAGCATTTCCATACTGACAGTATGTCTTTATTCAAGTGTTTTGGTAGGTATTTCAAGCTTTTCTGCTCCAGCATTGGAATGCGGGGCATGAACGTTTTTTTATTTATTTTGAAAATCAACAGTTTGCATTATGCAATTAAAAATCCTAACCAATAAAGTAGGGAATAGCTATCCAACTGTTGTTTTAGTTGTATGTTACTTCATATTATAGTTATATCAATGTAAATCATTGTTTTCCCTTGTGTTTCTCATTCTTTCCCTGCCATGTCGT